TGCAGATCCAGAACCCCCTGTACCCCCTGACTGAGAGCTCCTACAGCGCCTACGCCGTGGTGTTCCTGTCCCTCCTCGTCTTCGCCGTGGGCATCGTTGGGAACCTCTCTGTCATGTGCATCGTGTGGCACAACTACTACATGAAGAGCGCCTGGAACTCCATCCTGGCCAGCCTGGCTTTCTGGGACTTCCTCATCCTCTTCTTCTGCCTGCCCGTGGTCATCTTCAACGAGATCACCAAGAAGAGGCTGCTGGGGGACGTGTCCTGTCGCATCGTGCCCTTCATGGAGGTAAGGGGCTGAGCAGGGCCCTGGAGGGCTCAGGGGGGGTCCCAGGGGGACCCCTCGGCTCCTCTCTGCCCTCCTGTTTTGGGGGCAGTCCGTGCTGCTCATGGCTTGGTGTAAGGGCTCTGTGCCCCCCAGACCCCCACTGTGGGGCTCAGCAAGGAGCCCAGGGGTGAGCCCAGTATTGTCCTTCCCTTTGCCTTGGCCCCGGGGCCATTCCTCAGGCTCTGGAGCCAGCACCAACGCTGCCAGGGCTGGGAAGAGCCTGTGAAACCCTCCTTTGTCCAGCCAGCGTGGGGACTTGGGCCACAGGGTCCCTCTGTCTGTCTGTCCCTGTCCCAGCTCGACAGCACCCAGCCTATGGCTCAGCACCACAGTGTGCTGGGGCTGCTCTGGTGGTGCTGGGCTGCTGAGGACAGCCCCGGGGCAAGAAGCTGCAGGTGGGGCAGCACTGGGGCAAGAGAGCCCAGGAATTAGGTTTAGGACCTTCAGACCTTTGCCTGTCCTCAAGCCTGACGTGTGACAGGCTGGCCAGGTCTGGGGTGAGCTGGGGACCCACTGAGAAGGAAGGCTGCAGGGCCGTGGTGGCAGGGGAGGCAGAATGAGCTAAACTGCCCCAGATGACATGATTCTGCATGTCACTGGAATCAAACCCTCCCTCCTGGGGCATCTCCCATGGGCAGGATGACTGGGATCAGGCTGCTCCCTCCCTGCCCACGTACAAACAGACCCAACCTGGGCAGGGTGTCCGGGGCTCCAGAGCCCGGTTTGGGTGCAGACACAAGCTTGGGAGATACCAGAGACAGCCCCTGGAGACTGTCTCAGGCTTGGTCAGGTGAGACAGGGCTCAAAACCTGCTCATCCCACGCCCATGCCCATGGTCAGTGCCCCAACATGACCTAAAAGCAGCTGCAAGCTGAGGCCGTGGCTCGTGCTGGAGAGCCTGGGTGGGGGCTGCTGTCCTCACTGTCCCCAAACCCGCTCTTGTGCTGTGGCAGCACGGCCCCCCCTTGGCACCCGTGCCCAGGCCAGTCCTGCCCTCCCAGGGCTGTCACCATGCTGAGCTGAGACCTGTCTGTGCCCATCACCAGGAGTCACCCTGCCCAGAGCAGCAGCTGGAGGGGACAGGGGGGAGGACACTGCCAGGGTGAGGTGACCAGGTCTGAGGCCCCTCCCTCTGCCCCGCGGGCTCAGGTGCCCAGTGTTGGAGCCTTTGGCAGGGTCTGCAGGGCACAGGGCTCCCCGGGCACTCAGCAGTGGCCTCCCCATGCACAGCCCTAGCAGGGGATCCTGGCAATGCCACCGGGGCAAGAGGCTGGGGCCAGACTCTGGTCAGTGGTGCCCAGGGACAGGACAAGGGGCAACGGGCACCAACTGGAACCCAGGAGGTGCCACCTGAGCAGGAGGAGAAACTTCGTTGGGGTGAGGGTGCAGAGCCTGGAGCAGCTGCCCAGAGAGGCTGTGGAGTCTCCTGCTCTGGAGAGATTCCAAACTCTCCTGGTCCACACCGTCCCCTGCTCAGCAGGCAAGAGCTGCACATTTCTGGAGTTCTTCCACCCCAGTGTCTTACTAAATGATGCATTTGCCCCATCCCTGTCCTCCATCTCAGTCCCCTGACATCACAGCCAGGTGGGAGAACTCTGAGAGGAGCAG